AATATTGTAATTAATGTCTGGGATAAAATTCGTGTGTCTTAAACTATCTGGCACACTTGTAAGTTTGACAAGAACTCACCGTTGTCTTGTTGTAGATAACTGAAATAGTTTATTTTCTTCCAAGAATTTAGTCCCGGTGTCAAATCCTCCAATTAAATTCGTAGCGCGGTCCGAATTTTCCTACATCTGCCCAAGGTCACGTTAAGGCTTTTATGTGTTTGAATAAAAGTGACTTGAGAGAGAGAGAATTAGAAAAAAATAAGTTATTTACAGGCTTAGGGTGGGTCTGAAAAGCTGTGACCGAGGTCACAATTTTTGACTATACGGACCTCCCATCCGGCATAAAACATAAATATCATGAAAGGATATCTTGTAATAATATTTTTATTTACCGCGTCTGTAGATTCTCCTTTTCTTTCGTAAAACAAGAATGATGCTCCATCGTCGCTAAATTGTAACTTGTACTTCGCTACAATCTCTGCAGGAGACCAGTTATTCCTTCCCTGTGCACGTGTAGCCACGTGTGTCACAGGCGTGATTTTACCAAGATCAACTTGAAGCCATTGGTTCAAATCTTTTTGGGAAGCGGTGGAGGTGCGGTGGCCTCATGGTTAGTGCGCTCGTTCCCTGATCGAGCGCTCTAGCGGTCCGGGTTCGAGCCCTGGCCGGGGACACTGTGTTCTTGGGCAAGACACTAAACTCTCACAGTGCCTCTCTCCACCCAGGAGAATAAATGGGTACTGGCGAATTGTTGGCAAAACCTAACAAATTGAGGGGGAGTGATCTACGATGGACTAGCACAGTGTAAGACCACCTTTGTCAATTTTTTTTAGATCATTTCAGAGTTTGTCTCTTTGCCTCCATTTTCCAAACCAAGCCTGGTGTAAACTCTTTGATGCGGAAATGAGTTTTCGTGAAACAATCATAGGCATAACAATTAAACAGATTTTTTCGTTAGCAGACAAAAAGAAAATGTTCTCTGACGGCTTGGAGATGAAAGAAATACTTATACTTTTTTGCTGATAGTAACCCAGGGAAGATGACATTTGTGTTACTAAGTGACAAGCGGCCATGTAATGTTCTATTTGTTATGTAGAGGGTTTGGATGGCTTGCTGGAATCAGGCTTCAGTCAAAGTTTCTGCAGTGATTCCTCAGTTATTATTAAGACCAAAACCACGTCATTCCTCAGCTGACAGTTAAGACTTTATTCATTTAAGAACAAAACATAAAAATTAGAAGTGATCACCTTTAAAAGCGAGGTAGAGTTTGTGATAAAAGTGATTGTCATAACCCTTAACTTATCAAAATTACTTTATTCCAAGAAAATATTTACTTAGGTCCTGTCACAATACACTCAAATTGATTTTATTTTTATATGTATAACTGTGTTATACCTGTAAACTATCAGGCGAACTCATGCAGCTTTTAACACTTTCAACAAGTCTTGGCCGTGGCATTTCACTTTTATAGTTAAGCGTATTGAGTGACAACTTATATGTATTCATCTATTTTTACCACATGCGGTCAGCGGAAACGCTATTTTAGTTCATGGTAAACTTATTTCTACAGTTTTCCAGTTTAGTTTTTTATTATCGCACACTATTTACAGAAAAACAACTTAACATAAGATGGTTTACAATGATATAGGAAAAATAAATACAGATAGAAATTAACTAGAAGAAACAATATTTAATTGTGTACAGAGACCAAAGTAGCCAATGAGCTTTCGAGTTGGTCACTGTCATGTAGATATAAGTTGGCGTACGCTGGCCGCATGCTAAGTTAATTTAAATTGATATTTACATTAAAGACGATATTATTATCATAAAAGAAGAAAGACATACATAAATGCAAGCTAAAATAAAGGAAAACAATGTCCTGAATATTGTACAGTAGTATCTTATATAGTTAACAGTTAAACTATGGTCAGTTTTGAGTGGTCAATAAGAATCTTTTATAGTGCTTTTTGAACAGCACGTATGGAAAACGTTTAAGTTCTGGTGGGAACTTGACTCCGAACATTAGATATGGATGCTGCAAGTCATGGGTACGTTCGCGACAATGGCGAAAGGTAGTTTTAGATTAACGCTGGTTCATCGAAGCTCAATATATTTCAACGTAAAGCAAGGCAACAACGAACAACCTTTTTAAAAGGTGTTTTCTTCTGTCGTGCTGAAATGCCGGCATTGTCAAGTGTGCTTTCATGTTTTTGTATGACAACCTTTCGCAAAACCGCAATATTTTTATTTGTTGTGTCAATGCCCTGCTCGATAAGGACAGTTTGTCATTTTGTGTACGATGTAATAACTGAATTTTTTTTTACAGAAGAGACCGTGTTCTACCACAGTTACAACACTGACGACTATTTTATTTCACATAGTTGAAAAGAAAATGCGGAGCGGGTCAAAGTCACTCTTAAAACCTTTCCCACAATTTGCTTAATCTTGAATTGAAAAAAAGAAAAATTCTCGACGTGAGAAGTTAGAAATCAGTATTTCATCTTTTCTGCTCTCGCGCGTGTGTGACCGAAGTTTCCTTCACGTGTCGACGGGTAAGGCTAATGTGTGTTCTTTCTTTTCCTTTTCTAACTCAAGAGGCAACATCAGCTGCAAACGTTTACTTAATAGACGTCCTTAGTTGTGTTGAATTGAGTACGTTTATCCGATCCAATTGCTGATGTTAATGGCTAAAATTGTGTTAAAATAATAAAAGTTTCTAAAACCGCATCGAAAACGAGCGCGGTGACTCCCCTTTTTTTTATAAAATAACCTTTGCGTCGAAACACTTTGGGCGCAAATTTCCTTTACATGTTCATCTCAATTCGGAATATTAAATGTAGAAATAGCATCAACTCGGAAAAAAATCCCAGTTTCAGATGGGATTTGAACCCACGACCCTCTGTGACCTAGCCGGATGTTCTAACCACTGAGCTACTGGGGACTCTATGGTGAGCAAGGACCGCTTCGCGCAGTCAGACAGCCAAATAATGACTTAGCATATCTGTAGTCATAACTGCATCGCGCAGTCACATTGAGGCATAACCAAGATGCAACCAACCACTAAAGTGAGTAACGAAAGAAATATAATATGTATAAATAGCATCAACTGATGCAATCTCGATTCGATAATAAAACTGGAAGTCATCGGGCTCATTTTTGATTTTTGAGCAACTTTAACTAAAATTTCGTTCGTTTTAATGTGTTACACCGTTGATTAATATAAGTAGCCATTATCTTACACAGTCTTTTGTAAGTTTACCAATGATTGGGCAGCACTTCACTGAGAACGGATTAGCAAGATAGTCCCATTGAGCAAGAGTCTACATTTCTGCAAAAACAAGAAAATAATAATAATAATAATAATAATAATAATAAAATAACAATTTGTCTTTGTAAAAGTTATAAATACTTATATAGCGGCTGGGCAATTTTCGTTGTTGCCAATTTTTACCACTTAACTATGTTTTTCCGTTCTTAAACTGAAAGGCATTCCCAAATGACAGAAATTTATAGAGCTTTAAATGAAGACGCCATGTTAGTACCCATCCGATAAGCACCAACATGGCGGCCGTAAATTAAAGTAAAAGAAACCAGTCCTGTCCCGATTGTGCTCGGCAACCTTTGAGCAGCTTTTGGCGTTTGGAGCAACGTTTTGCGGTTCTAGCAACCTCGAACAAGTGTTGCCTCTCTGAGCGAGTTTTGAGTAAAGTATAGTTTAGAGCAATTATCTAGCACGAAAAAGTCAACGATTTCATAGAAAACTTCTATTAAATGCGAATTTCTTGAATGTTCATTAACCTTTTTAAGCTTAAAGGCATAGGCTGTCACTTAATAACGTTACCCAGTCCTATTGCTTTGTTCCATTAGACTAGAGAGTATCTTTAAATTTAATAATTTCGCCTATATTTGCGAGCATTTGTTCAAAGATAACTTTCAAGCTATTTTTATTGACCAATGTTAGCGGTTATTGTCAAGAACGAAAGATAAAGCTTTTAATTAACATTTATATAAAAATATCAGGAAATTTAGGTAGCAGCTTTTTGGATTTTGTGGCAACCTTATGACGTTCCAGTGTGTAAGTTTCCAGCATTTTACGAGCACAATCGGGAAAGGCTTAACAGATACATCTTTCATTGAGTTTTGCAATCGAATCGAAAACTTATTGTTCTAGAGTTCCGACACATTGAAAGAACTAATTCTTCTAGCCTGCGTTGCAGGCGTAAACGGGGAAGGGGTAGGGAGGCAAACCGCGAAGAAACAGGGGAAGGAACGCCTGCTATAAGAACTGGGCTTTTCGCGTTACAACCATCAATTTTAATGCAATGCGATTTTCTCAACTGTCAATTACTGTAGTCAACAGGTTGACCAATCAGAAACTAGTGCGCGCTTGTCGGCATAACTGACTTCCTACGGAAATTTAGTCGACTGAAATTTCCCGGAGTGATTAATTATCGAAGCGTGAAAAATGGGAATATTACAACTTGACAACATAACAACCATGAGGTTATTTTTTTTTAGCGGGAAAATGTCCTCCACTTCCACGAAGAGTTCGAAAATAAGGAATAAAAAGAAGGAACACGGTCGCAATAATTTATTTAAGTTGTGTGGTATCGAGTCTGGTGCAAAAGCGGAGAGCGTCTTTCGTAATTTTTTTTGACAAAGTCCAGCGACTGTGTTGGCCGACCGTTTTTCTTTAGTGTTTCCCATAGGTTCGCTTGAATTCAAAGCAAAAGTTGTCTAAACCTTTTTTTGGAAGTCGTAGTCGCAAAATCAGAAACGCTGCAGAATTATACTGTCTTATAAAGACGGCTGTAACTTCAAGCAATACCATAACTGCTTCGGTTACGGACTGTGAGGCGGTGGAAGATAGCCAGTATTTTGAATTCGCATCGGCGAATAGCATTTGGCAGAAGGATAGCCCAGTGATACGATATCCCGCAGCTGGTCTTTCAAAGGTACTTTTCAAAGACAAAATAACAAGTATCGACGATTTCCCGTTCAGTTCATACCTCTTAGCAAGAACAATTAGTCTTTTCCTGTATTCTGAAGACAAAACTGTCAGAAACAGATCTTTCAGCTCAAAGAACTGTCACGAACGACTCTTCTTCGGGTTTTCACATACATCTGCTAACGCTAGGGAGATTTAACATCTCTCAAAGCCCTTGCTAAAACGTCTTTCTCGGCGATTATTGTTGTTTTATTATTATTATTATTATTATTATTATTATTATTATTATTATTAGATTGTGAAACTGACAATCATGTTGATAAGTTACTCATTGACTATTAGGCAATGAGAATTTTGCGTTCGCCAGCGAAGGCCGAAATGAACAAAAGGGGGTTCTTATAGCAGGCGTTCTTCCTAGTTCCTCCTAGTCCTCCTCCTTCCATCCGCGCTTTGCCTCCCCTTCCCTCGTTTAACTCCCGCTACGCCGGCTACAATTCTTCTAGTGCAAGAAGTGTTTAGTTGGCAAAAACTTGAGCGATAGCTCCTCTTTTGACCTACCCAAGAGCCTTCTCGGGCCACCATTTTAATGTCACCGAACGCATAAACTCGGAAATTCAAACGCCCTCTATAACAAAAAGAGGAACCCTGTCGAGCTTAAAGTGCCTATGAAGTAAAAAACAATTCCTGCTTATTTAAAGGGCTCTTCAAAGTAAAGAAGAATGGCGTTTTCCCTTTTGGAATATCTTTTTTCGTTTTAGAGATATTCACGTTTTTGTATTATGCAAATGAGGAGAGTGATGGCGTCATAGGTGGTTCCTCTAAA